TTTTTTCATAAAAAAATCTTTTTTTCGCAAGAAAAGTTTTTTTTTATAAAAAATATAATTTTTTACAAAAAAATTGTTGTGAAATAATTAAACACAAAATTTTGAAATTCTGATTGTAGATTCGGGTTTCTCGACCTCGGAAGCCTTTGATCGAACTTTATGAGAAATAGTTATTTTGTTAAAAAGCTCTTCTTTAGTGAAAAAATCCACTATACAATTTCCAAACACTAAAAGAAATCCGTTTTCTCGGAATTCTGTAGGAGTGGGTGTGGGTATGTAAGGAGTGAAAGAAGATCGATATCGACCGTTATTTGTACTCTTTGTGCAACTTAAAAGCGAAATGGTTTAGGTCCACTTTACCTTTACATGGTACTACGACAAAAATTAGAAATTGATATTCTCTTTTTTGTCATGGATGCTAAAAGCTTTTCATCTTTTACTATAAATATCTCAACTAATTTTTGCATCAATCAATTGTCCTAGACCCTTGGATGAGATCTCAACAATGTGAATGAAGAATTTCGAATCGGAATCAGAATCAATAATTCCATATTATACAAAAGACAATGAACACTAATGATTGCCGTACTTGGAAGTATCTAACAATATATTATCCTCCAAAACGACACATTTTTCAAAAAAATAATTCATTATAAGTAGGTTTCCAGCTTTATACAGTTGAAAAATAATAAAATAACTACGCAAAAAATATAAAATTAACATAAAAATTCAGTTTACATATCATTCAAGACGAATGATTATATATGGTTAATTCTGCATCCCCATAATGAAATGACTTCGTCCAATTTTAACCATATCAAAATATCTTAATCAGCACCTAACATGAGCTATTCTGATGGTTGACTAAATATCAAGTCTACTGGATTAGTGCCAGAAGGTAAAGTGATAATATATCACAGGAAACTATAAAAGTTTTATTGACATCAATATTAAGTTTACTTTAAACTTTCAACGTTGTTATTCAACATTGCCAAAAAAGCAAATAACAGGAGAAAAATGTACCTAGAATTACAATAATGCTTTGAGCAAGGTATTTAACAAGTATTTTTCTTTCTCAACTGCTGTACGTAGCACTTGTCTATATAAATATTATGGTTAAATTAGCGGACGCGTTACAGTTGTTTTTGTTTTAGGCATATTCGTTCTGTTTTTAATGGTTTATCATAAAAAGCACTTCAGGCCGCATTTCATAAAGTAATAAATGACATAAAATACAATTCTTTTTTCATTTTTCCTCTCACTATTTATTTTTGTGTTTACTTCATATATTTGAGCAAAAAAGTGCAAGAAAATTATTTCGCTGTACAAAACAATAAACGTTGAGAACGACGCTGAATGTCATTTAAAACGTTAGAATCAACTTTTTATGGGATTCTTTTTGAATATCCATTACCTAATGGACATATTTGGAAGCTACAACCCTTGGAAAATGCTTGCTTTCGAGATAATCGACATTGGTTTGAAATGCTTCATCGAACTCGTGCATTGTTGTTTTGTTAAATATTAAAAAAATGTATAAAACGTCCTTTTTTTTTTCTTAGTTTCCAATGTGATCACGGACACAAATGGAACTCTTCATGGAGCATGATTTTATTTCGATTTCATCTTGATGATTCTCAAGGCTTTGGAAGAGTTAGAATGAAACGATTTGGTCAACGTTGCAACAAATGTAAAAACGATGAAACGTATCATGTCGGACAATGTGACAAAAAACAAGTTTGGCATACAGTTCAATGTCTTCTGCTAAATATCTTACAAAGATGTTATGAGAAAAGACGTGACTGTGACATTGATATGGAAGAATATATTATTCCTGTTAGTGATGTTCCGAGTGGCAGATTCGGTGGTACACCACATCAGAAGGATTTCTGTGAAGCCTGTGCTCATAATCGATGCCAACAAATGTATAAAAAATTAACAAAAAAGAAATAAGAATCTATATTCTGATAAACTTTCTATTAACAGTTGATGAAATCAATCAATATAAGTATCATATTTTTTAGCAAATTGATGAAAGTTAATGAGATCAAATTTTACTAAAATGAAAACAATAATTAAAAGTTGAAATAATACAAATGACTATTTAATAGTTTCTTTCTTCAATTTTTAATCAAGGTTATTTTTAAATATCGAATTGTAAAGATCTGTAAGAAAATTATTGAGACAAAGAATACTTTGTTTTGAATACTAATTGATAATTATCATTCAAACACAAGGGTACATTCGACCAGAAATCTATTCATTGATTCTTTTTCTCATCTATCCTTCTATAAGACATGCAGAACAATAAATATTGACACCAGATATATTTTGTTACGGTTTTGTATGCTTTTTTTTGATGTCATATCGTCAAGCAAAAATTTTATTTTATATTCCATTATGCATGATTTCATAAAAACTATCTGGTCTACGTGTTCTATGTTGACTGAGAGTTCCTGATTTCTCAAAGGAGACAAAAAACATATTGGCTTTAAAAATGATATTAAATAGTGGGATTCAGTAGGTTGTATAGTTTGGCGACCACTCAACTAGTAATCAGATTATTCAAGCAGAAAATGATGACAGAAATTTGTAGGCAAAACGAGATGTCAAATAAAAAAACATGTCATACATGACAGATCAGACTTCGATCCAGCTTTCCATGCATTTACCTCGATTTTTTTTTTGAAAAAGAGGGAGGAAGCTTCAATAAATGGATAAATCTACAAAATTATATCAAATGTTAGTTGTCAGTAGGCTGACTATTTCAGAAATGCTCAAGTATGCTATTACTGAGATACATCGTCTTATTTTTTTGACTCATAGTTAGTTTTTGTTTTGTTAGACTAACTAAAACAGAATCCCGAAAAATTCGCTCAAAATTCCACGTAGAGCACAACCCAAATAATGAATTCAAACAAAAAATCACCTAAACAGGGGAGATCATGTTCCAAGTTTGTAAAATGCTACTATAACACAAAATGGCAGATAGTTAAACAATGAAAACGAATTTTTCACTTAGTTTTTCATTTTTATCTCAGATCGAATTATTCTAACCAAAATAAATTAAATATTTTTCTCAAGTAGTCAACCTACTGACATCTACTACTATTTGATGTCACTGTGTAGATCTCTCTCTTTCTAAGTAATACAAATAAAAAACTACGACCAGATAATTTGTTGCTCTTAGAATATTATTGAACCAATACTCAAAATATAGGTCACATTGTCTCATTTTACACGATCGTCTGACTACTACTTTGTTTGTCGTCAAACTCGAACAACCTATTGAATCTCACTAAACTCTCAGACAACATAAGACTAATGCTGAAAGAGAAAGCAACATGTTCTCCATATCAATATATATATATATATTGTTCTACAGCTTTTATAGAAAGTGAACTGAACAAAGTTAGTTAACTAATTTCTGTTTCAATATGCACCTCCGTGCTTTATTAAGTGGTGTCTGCATTCACAGAATATTACTGCGTAATCTTGACGAAGGACAAATATGCTCAAAAATTTTTATAAAAAAAAAGATTGATGTTTCCTGAGAGAATTTCATAGATAAATTTATTTTTCTTGTCAAATAAAAAAAAAAATAAAATATATTTTTTGTAGTTTTTCTCAAATAAAATGCACATGTGATGAAAATTGATTAAGCTTTGAAAAACATGTTAACATATTATTCAATATCTTGATTTTGATTGATATAGATTAATATCTTCAAACATTGCTTTTTTTTCTAATGCCTTGTAATCTTTCATGTGATTATTCTTAGTGAGAATTTTATCAACGAAAGGAATAAAATAAAATTGTTACATCGATGTAACAAATATTTGACAAAGTCTAACACATGCTTAGATACTTTTCCACTAGTTTATCTCACATTACAAAAATCAAAGTAATTGTCAATATTATAATCTTTGCAAATACAATCTTCATCCACATCAAAAATCGTTATGTCAATGTCAATAATATATGATTTTTGAGTAGATGGGGTCTCTTTTTTCGAATACTATTTTAATACAAAAGTTTTATTTTTAGATTTCTAAGATGATTTTCTTTAGAATGAATTTAATCATATAGGTTAGAAACTCTCTTTAGCATACAGCCAAACAGTAACAGTGAAATAGTTCTTGTCAATCATATTATATTTGTTCTGACTCCGATTACTTCCAATTCAAAACTATTATACATATATATTAAATGAATTGGTAGCAGAAATTTTTATATTTAAAATTTTTTTTTTCTATGCACGATTTTATTAATAATCTGTTACATAGTAAACATATACAAATAGGCTAAAGTACTTGTCAAGTAAATCTCGAAAAAAATTATATATGTTATGTGTTTAATAATGTTATGTCGTAGACATCAAATTTTATACTTAATCACAGAGTGGAAGGCACCTACGGAATGAGTTAGTTAGCTGCTTGTTGTTAATCACACATTTTGAAGTGCGTGATATGTAAAAAAACAAAGTAATAAGAGAATAATATCTCGATGTAGACCTTCTGTCAATAGTTTACCGTGGTATTTTTTTTCTGATTTCTTTCGATAGGTTGCTTATTTTTCTTCCTGTTATTTTAAGTGAAACAAAAAAAAAGACGAGGTGTATTGAGTAATATTATGCTAAAGCAATGTTTGTCAATGATTTATGACTCGTAAAATATCATACTTGTGAAGTAAATATATAAGACGATGGTCTATTACGTGAAACAATAAAGATATGAAGAAAAAAAAAGAATATAGAAAAAAGAATTGAGAGAGAAGAAAAAGAAGGATGAAGAGAGAAAAAAGAAAGGAAAGAAAAAGTAAGAAAAAATACTGAAGAACCACACAACTATTTTATTGTTAATAAAGCTAAAAAAAGTGTGTTAACTTTTTCCAAATTAGATGGAACATTCTTTATTTTTTCTTTTTTTTGAGGATTAATTTTTGAATAATTTCAAAAGAAAGATATATTCAATTATTATAGTTTTTAAGACCTAACTAAAATGTCAGGTGGACCCACAACTCCAATAGCATCATCATCAGTACAATCAGCTGCTCTATTAGAAAAACTTCTTCGTACAGATGTTATTTCAGTCACATTAAAATTTGGTTTTCAACAAAAACCATTTAAATATCCATTAAAAGATACATCAAGTTCAATTATTGAAAAAATTTATCGTGATGCTGAAACTTGGCTACGATCAATTGCAATTAATTCAAAAACTTTATTAACAACTGAACGTTATACAATTTATTTATTTCGAATACCAACAACAGATTTAACCATGGTACCAATTGTTCAATTATCAGATATTGAACAAAATTCATCAATTGAATTAGTTATTGTGCCTGTTGAAGTTAATTTAAATCCACATGCTTTATATCGATGTCAATTAAATGTACCAACAAATTGTTCAAAATGTTCACGACTTATTACTGGAATTTATCGACAAGGTTTTCGATGTCGAAAATGTCGTATGACATATCATAAAGACTGTGCACCATTTTCACTTGATGATTGTTCAGTACCTATTGATCCTCCATCACAAACACCAACATCTCAGCCTCAACAAGTTACTTTCGTTTATCCATTTGATTTTGCATCAACATTATCAATAAATTTAGCAGCAAAATCTGATAATACAAGTGTACCTATTTATAGTCCATCATCGAATACTGCAAAAGAAAATGAAAAATCCGTTGTTGCTACAACAATTATTGATGAAGGTATTTTTCCAGCATGTATTGGTGGTACATATATATATCGACGATATTTATTTCGTTTAACACCAAATACACTAAAATTAACTACAAATTTATCACCTATCTCATCATTAAGACAACAAACACGGCAATTAACTGATGTTGATATAGTTTTTCCATTAACTGATATAAATGATCTGGTTTTAACACATTTTAAAGAGGAACGAGATTATATATTTGAAATATGTTTTCAAGGTAAATTTGTATTATGTGTTGGTAAAAAAAGTGATGCAGATGATTTACAAATGCAAACAGCACAATTTTATTCATCAATTCGAGATCAATGGGAAGCATTAGCTAATGGTTCATCATCACAATCACAACTATCAACTTCTATTTCTACTACTCAAATATCACCACTCATAGTTGATAAAGAAAAACCTAGTGATTTAAAACGAAAACCAAGTTTTTTTCGACGTCCACCATGTGGAACAGGTAATGAAGATAAAGATTTACATGATTTGTATACATTCACTGGTGAAAAAATTGGCGAAGGTAAATAGAATAAATAGACTCGAAAGAAAATTTCTAATGTGTTCTTTTTTTTGTTTTAAATGTAGGTCAATTCGGACGAGTTATAGGTGCTATACGAAAATCAACAAATCGTAAAGTTGCAATAAAATGTATTGAAAAATCTAATTGTAGTGAAGACGATATTCGACGAACAAATGAAGAAATTATTCATCTTTATAAATTCACTCATGTTAATATTCTTAAACTTGAAGCTTATTTTGAACGTGAAGATGCTGTTTATATCATTACGGAACGTATGGAAACTGATATGTGTAAATATATAATGGAATCACCAAATAAATGGCTTGATGAAAATATGAGTAAAATGCTTTTATATCAAGTTATTATTGCATTACGATATTTACATGCAAATAATTGTGGTCATCTTGATGTTAAATGTGAAAATATTCTTATATCATTTCTTAAACCTATACCAGTTAATAATAATCGACCTAATCAAACAATAAAATATAAGCATGATTTACCTTTAGTTAAATTAGCTGATTTTGGTTATTCAAGAATTATTGGTGAACATTCATTTCGTAAAACTCGTGTAGGAACTGTATGTATTGTGATCAAATCAAAATATGAATATTTATTTTATTGGAATTTGTCGTTTTTTTTTATCTTGTTTAGAAAGTTTATTGTGCACCAGAAATATATCGTAGTAAAGAAGGTTATAATCGTTTAGTTGACATGTGGAGTGTTGGTATTGTTTTATATGCAGCTCTATCTGGTACATTACCCTATGATGAAAAAGATGTTCATCGTGCTGAAGAAATAGTACGTAATAAAAAATTAATGTTTTCTCATCCACGATGGAAAGATATAACAGATGAAGCGATTGATCTTATTTCAAATAAACTTTTAGTTGTTCAAGCTAATACACGTATTAGATCGACTGTAAGTGTTTCACAAGAAAAAAAAAGAACTAGTTTAATTTCTATAAATATTATCTGTTGTTTTTTATTTTAGGAAGCTCTATTTCATGCATGGTTTACAGATTTTCATTTATATAAAAAATTACGTGAAATTGAAAAACGAACAGAATATGATTTTTCAATAAAACAACAACAGTTACCATCATCATCAACATGGCTTACTGGAGAACGCGAAGATCCTGCATGGATGGAATATAAATCGATGTACGAAAAATCAAATGAATAACAATATATATCTGTTGTTGTGATGTGTATGTATTCGTCTTTTTTTTTTGTTTTTATTTAACATATAATCTATCTTGATATTAATTGTGTGTGTTATAAAAATTACTCATTTTAATTTTTATTCTATAGTTGTTGTTGTTGAATTGTTTCAAAATTGATAATGAATATAATATTATTCGTAAATATTTTCATTTCTTTTCTTGAGAAAGGCCTCGATTCATATAGAATAAGTTTTGCTTGATGTAATTTTTTTGTGAAAAACGCATTAATCTCTTGAATAGTATGCATTATGCATATGTCATTCGATATGATTACTATACGTATATATTCAAAGAATCTATTGCTATTTGTTGAGATTATAGAAAGAATTACTACCTCTTATATTAATGAAAAAGCTATTACTTGTATAAATGCATTAAATTAATTTTTTATTATATGTATTTTTGTTTCATTCGGCAATTTTTTCATTGAAAATTATAATGTGGAGTGATATATTGTTTGATTTAATATGAAGTAGGTTATTGAAATATATTACCAACATCAACTTTTAATGCTAAATGGTAGATGGCACTTATCAAAAGATAACATAGTGCAATTTACACATGCAGAATTTTAGCAAGAAAACCACCAAATGAGAAAGAAATCTAAGAAAAAACATTTTAAAAACTACTATGCGAAGAAAGAAAGAACATTGAGCACATATAAATAATGCTAGTAATGTTTTTCTACCTTATGACACTGACACGCCTCAACAACGTGCTGCAATAATTACAATTTTGCTTTTATACAATAAATATAATTAGAAATTTCCTATATCAACATAGGAGATCTTCGTTTTTATAAGCTAAAAATTAAAAACTTAATTATTAATATAATGAACTATATGGAAATATGGTAAAAGAAACAAATTTAGTAGTCTTGATTATGACATTTCTGGTTGTATTTATCAATACTTTATTTCAAAGATAACAATTTTTGACGTAGTTGATCACAATATTTTTTATTTATGATTGTTTGAGAGTGCTTTGGTCCCAAAGCTTGACAAAAAATATCAACAGCTTGTTCAGCATGTTCATAGGCTTCTTCATGTTGATTATTAGCTTCAAATGCTACAGCCATATTACTTATAGTAAAAGCTAATGATGGATGATTACCAGAAAGATGTTTCCGTTCGATTACTAATGTTTTTTGATAATATGACAACGCACTTGGATAATCGCCCATTGCTCTATATGCTTCACCGATGTTATTATATGTACTAGCGAGATCTAGATAATTTTTCAATGATAGTGTCTGTTGAATTTCAACTGATATCTCATAATTTGAAAGTGCTTGTTTATAATCTTCCATTGAATCATATACACTACCCATATTATTATAAATGGTAGCTAAAAATGAATGGTTTGACGGAAGAGATTTTTGCCATATTTCTAATGTTTTTTTATAGTATGTGAGTGCAGTGGAGTATTCTTTCATGGACTGATATACTGTTCCAAGATTATTATAGGTATGAGCTAATGATGGGTGATCTGCTTTAAGATATTTTTCTTCAATAAGTAATGATTTTTCAAAATATGAAATTGCAATTTGATAGTTTTCCATAAATCGATGTACTAAGCCAATATTGTTATATGTGGTTGCTAATGAAAGTTGGCTCGGTGAAGGAATTTTGTCCTGAACTTTAAGTGCTTCTTCATAGTATGAAAGTGAAATAGTATATTTTCCCATTAATTGATATACATAAGCAATATTATTATAAGTTAATGCTAATGTTGGATGATTAGATGGAAGAGATTTCTCTTGAATTTCAATTGTTTTTGTATAATATAACAATGCCTTTGAATAGTCTCCCAATAAACTATATATTCCTCCGAAGCTATTATAACTAAGAGTCAAAGACGGATGATCAAGTGGAAAGGAAGATTTTTGAATTTCATAAGCTTTTTTATAGAATGACAAAGCATTTGAGTAGTCTCCTTTGGATTCATATATCATACCAATATTACTATAAGCACTGATTAACGATATATGATCCAATGGAGAAGATTTCAATCGTATTTCAAGTGCTTTTTCACAATATGAAAGTGCTGTTGTATAATCTCCTAATGATCTATATACCATTCCAATATTATCATAGACAGTAGCTAACGATGGATGCTCAGAAGGAAGAGAATGTTTTTGTATTTCGAGTGCTTTTTCATAAAATGACAATGCAAGAGAATAATTCTCCATTGAATCATGCATTAAGCCAATATTATTGTAATTAGAGGATAATCTGGTCATAAATTTTTCATTATCATTATCATGATCATTAGTTATCTGTACTATTCTATAGAAGATTTCTAGAGCTTCATGATATTTACCCATTTTATACAAAAATGTAGCTAAAGAATGCCAAGGAGTTATACCATGAATCTCATTCCGCATATGATAAGTTAAACATTTCATTTGTTCATCCATGTCACAAGTTAAGGTTAAATTGATTTTCCATAATCGATCTTCAATTTGATTGATCTCACCAATTCTAAAAATACTATGTGTAGAAAATAAAACCTCATTTTCGGCTTCTAAATAATAACTTGCATTATCTAAAGGAGCAAATGGTATTGAACACATCGATGGATCAATATTCATTTCAAATAGAATTCCTATTTTTTTATCATCAAGTTTAGCAGCATTTGCAAAAGAAAAAGCTATTTCTTGATTAGTACTTGTTGATAAAAAACCATGATATGAAAATAGACCACCTTTCTGCTTGATAAGTTTATCAAAATCAACATCTAACATTCCTTGTCCACGATAAACAATGAATTTAACAGTTCGATCTATTTGAGAATAGATCTTTTTAATATCTTGATGAACATCACTTATAAAAAATCCCATTTTAACAATCATATCAATATTATCTGTCATTAAAGCATCTTTAAGTAATATATAGATCGGTGATTCTTTAGTATACCACCAAATTGGTGAATGATTTTGATAATCTTGTTCAAATTCATCAATGGCTTTCAACATTGCATTATTATCAGCATAATATTTTCGACAATAATCAAATGAATCTTGTTTTGCTTTATCATCATAACTAATTTTAAGAATAATTTCTATGAGTATTTTTGAATACATATATGATGGATCAAGTTCATCAAAATTCGTATCTACAGTAGAAATGATACTAGTTTTTGAATAATTAGTTTCAGATGAATTAATATTTTGCTCAATGGCATTTATAATAGCATCAATATCAGTAAATATGCCTTTTATTTTTTTCGATTCATTTGTCCACGATTTGTCTTTCAATGAATCATTACAAAATATGTAAACGGAATTGATTTGAGTTGTTTCCTTAATAAGATCATTAAGAAGAATATGTTCTTGATCACATAAATCGACAACAATCAAAAATATTTGTGCATCTTTAATAGTCTTAAGATAATTGCTAAATTCATCAATGTTATTAAATGTTTCAAAAGAAGTAATCATATGTTGAATACTATGAAATGAATTTTTTGTATTTTCATTCGTACGATTAATATTTGTATCCAACCAAATAATAATACAATGTTCAATAATATTAGAAGAATCTACAAGTGATTTTTTGACGCTGGTATGTTTTGTCATTGGAATAATAATTGAAGGAAAAAAAAACCAGGTTTAATATTGTGTATTGTAGTGTCTTATTTTAATGAAATTGAAGAAATGAATTGGAAGTCTTTTTTTCATAGAATAATGTCTGTCTATCAACAATATCTTCTATGTTTTATTTATTTATTTTTCTAAGTTGGAATATTCTTCATGTTTCGTATGTCACATTTTAAATTCTGTTCGCCATACTATAGGTGGTAGAAAAGCAGTTTTTACTCCTTTTTTCTTTGTTACGGTTTGCAACGTGACAAAGTTACGACGGAAGAACAGAAACAAAATATTGCTATCAACATACATTCGTAATCATAAACTTTTTTTTCTTTTCACATCAATTCGAAACGGAAACAGATTGGTATTTATTCAGCATATCAAAAAACAGAATTTGAAAATTTATCATCAATAGAAAATAATGAGACAATTTTTTAATTGTAGGAAAATATTTAAGAAGAAATCTAAAACCTTGATTCGACAAATAATATATATAAAAAAAAAACTAAGTATGATATTTTGGTTGCAGTAAAAAGATCGAAAAGCAAATTGGTGAAAAAGTGCTTTAGAATATTCTGATTATTGAAACATATTTTTTATTGTATAGAATGATAGTAATTATCAATGATTCCAATCAATGGATCATTTAAATTTCTAGGAATTTTTGCTAAGCATCCATTAAATGAACATTGCCAATATTTCATAGCAGTTCTTGTTTTATTTAATTTGAAAACATAATCATGTGATAAGAGTAAAGATTTTCCTTTTTTTTAAATCAATAACGTAAATAACTAAAGATGTTGACTGACATATATCTCCGCGAAGATAAAACTGCTACGACCATGATGATAGAATTGTACTAGAAAACATCACTTTTTTTTTTAATTTACTTTCTGGTTTTGACATTTTTTTCTTTCGACCTTGCTACACATCACATTCCAGTTTTCTTTAATTGATTATATTAGTTGTTAATAAGTAATTAGTTTTATCAAGATTTACTTTTTATCAGGTCTTTTTTTGTATCTTTTTTTTTTTTGACAAATAAAAACTCTAATTGATCATAATTGTTTCTCCATTGATGATTGGATGAATGAACAAAAAAAAAAAAAGCTATTCATAATTCATAAGAACATCTTGGAAATATGAAAATAATATTATGATGTATCGCCAAAGAAAAAAAATACCAACCGGAAGAAAAAGAAATAAATTAGACGCATAGAAGAATAAAATTGATAGATGAATTTCAGACTTACATTAGCTTAATGTCAACTGACATATGTTTGTATAATTATTTACTAAACATCAAAGTAATTGCATTAGACAACAAAGGATAGTCCAAAAGTCATGAATGATTTTTTTGTAACGCATGTTCTTATCGAACTATAAATTGGTTCTTTTAATTCATACAGTTAGAATGTAATTTATCTAGAAATACATATCATATTTTAAATTAAATTAACCGTTTAAATATTACACATTCAAATATAAAATCGTTGATTAAACGTAAATAAACTAATTGATTTATATCGTGAAACTATATTGTAATTATGTTTTAATTACTTAGATATCTCTAATAGATTAAACAAATATAATCTGTAACGTAAATTAATTCTTTTTTTTCAACCACTTTTCGTTGAATTATACCTTTTCTAAATGTATTAATTTTTGACTGCTACTGTAAATCATTCTATTCTTAGTGAACTACATGTCAATCAGTCGTTCATTAATTCTCTTTTTAGTATTTGATTTATTTTCTGTCTTAATGATTATGAACGCTAAAAAAAAGAAAAATTTGCATAAGATTATAATTCATCGATAATCTTAAATATTTTCTAACGAGAATTTTTTTTTTTCTTTTTACATATAGAACTAGTCTACCTTACCGGATAATATCTAGTTAATGTATCAGAAATACAATTAACCATAAAATAATTATAAAGTAGTTTCACAATTTGAATTGATTACTTCATTTACACGATTAACCTTGTTATTGAGTGAGATAGAAGAATCAATTTATGGTCATATTGAAGACTAAGTTTTACTGCACTTACAAGAATACTAATTATACAAAACAACTGTTGCACATAGATCATTTTTCGATCTAATAATTTCTTTCTGATATAAATCTATTGACTGTTGTAATTAATTTAAAACACTAAAATCTCCTAGTACAGAACCACAAAGAAAGCCAAATTATTTCGAAATATTTCCATTGTTATATGAAATATGTGAGTTATTGAAACATGCTATTTGTAAACATTAGTACATTATAACTTGTCCAGTTCGAATACACATAAAAGTTTAATTAAGAGAATATTTGACTCTATTGGCACAATTTTTCTATAGATCAGATCAGATTAGAAATTTACCTATCATCTAGATTGTTAAAAGTCATGTTTCGTTCTATGCAGAATTTTGCGCTTAACTATTTGATAAGGATAGAAAATTGACTCGATGATATTTAGGATGATGAGCGTTAGAAATTCTACCTTTGCTTTCTTATCGTCAACATTGCTGATAACATCATCAGGCATCTTTATAATAACTTCATTGACAGTTAAATGTGCATTAACTAAAAACTTAGCACCACTCATAGATTTCTCGATTGGTAGACCTTTACCGGGCTTTGTTGAAGGTTTTCATGAGTGAGAAACTTTAAATAATACTTCATTGCCATGAAAAATGTGATGGTGTGTTAGTCACTAATATATATGGAATTTCAGAAAGAAAGTTCCTGCAAAATGTATTTACCAATAGTATGTTTGAATTAGCCGTCTACGTAGCTTCAAACGCTATTCTATAGTTGTGTCATTCAATCACACAGTCATACTCTCACACTTACACCTTTCAAGCAATCAAAGCGCAGAGAAGGATATCAATCTGGGAAGAATCATTCGTTTAACGTTGAGAATAGAAAAAAGAACAGCATTTTAAATATACATATGAGACGTGAGCAAAACGTTATTATATCACACATGAAATGGTTCGATCAGTTAATGTAATATACACAAAATCCAAGCTCGAACTCATTAGACAAAATCACGTTTTCAAAAGGTTTGGAATGGAGTATGTTTTTGATGCATGTCTAGCTATACATACGCTTGGAATCATAGAGAGACTCAATTACTAGACTATTTGCTCATCCGAAATCGTGCTCTCTAGATTGTTAGATAAACTGAAAAAGAAATTTATCCTTGCATTCAGATTTTGTTTTATTTTTAAGGCAATCGAATATCTTCTCGTTTTAGTAGTAGAAGGACCAAAAAATGGTCTTGTTTATTGTAGTTACTATTATAAAAACTTAGTAGACAGCATCTTTAGAATCAGTGAGAAAATCTTCATAGGATTCAATAGAAAATCGATCACAAGCAAAATTTCATGAGACATATACGGAGGAGGAATACAAGGGCGTTGCTCGTGGCAAAATGATTTTGTTTAAATATATGTAATACAGTAGAGATTTTCAAGGTGATTCTGAATATAAATAGAAAAAACTCAGTACAGATTTGATGCAGTATAGATTGAGTAGGAAAAAAAGTATTATGTAGCTTGACATACTATCCATTATTTTATCATGTTTCTTTCTAACAATGACGACTATCAATCATCGCAAGTATAATATATATACTTGTATGTGTCAAAGTATATTTCGTACGATACAAAACTATATACACGCTCGATGTCTTTCTAGTACTCTACTGTTTAATACTACAGAAAAATTGAATATTTTTCAAAAGGAAGCCATTGACCATCTACTATCATTAGATAGTACTTGGAAATGAATATAATTGTTCAACACTGAGAATTTTATAGTACTTGTTGAGTGTGTTACAGACAAGTGGACAAAAAAGCGAGACTTCATTACTACCAAGTACAAGTAAAGTATGAATGAAGTGCAAGTAAAGTACTAATGAAGTATGATACTTTATCGTAATTCACTGTAGTCTATTAGTACTTCATTACAATTTCAGTTGTACTTCATCTGTACTTCACTCGTACTTTACTTGTAATTCAAAGTACTGGAGTTTTGCCTTTTCATCCTTGGCTAGAAATCAAGAAGAGCATATTCAAGAATATTTAATGCAAGGTAAAACAAATATAGAACATAAAAAATCGAACAATGAAAGACATTACTACTATTGATTATTATCATTAATCTATTATGCAAATCAAATGTACGTGAGACTGTATCATTTATACAAAAAAAGAAAAAAAGGTCATTATGAATCAAATGTGTTAGAAATAATTCTATTCTGTTTCAAACTCTGATCCTTTTACTTCTTAACTAACGGTCTTTTATCTCAATATCTTGCTTCGATTTTTTATGCTAATTTAGAAAAAAAAGATTATAAAAACTTAAGAGTTGTTTTGAGAATGAAAATTGATTTTGTTTATATCTATACTATTATCAGTATTTAGAGTTTTTTTTTTGCAACGAAACAGTAACGGAATTGAAATAAATAGTAGATATTCGTAAATAGCTCTTCAAATTCTATCAAACTATATATCAATCAATGAAAAATAAAAATCCACTCCAATTTTGCGCTACGTATCTCTTATAAAACATGAATAAGATCCGTCAATACCAATAAGTAATATTAGATTTAAAATCTTTATGTATGAACTATATAATTGTATATAAATATGATCATATTCAAAATTCTCATGTTTATTTCGCTTTATATCAAATTTCCTTGGTATTAACATACAGCAAACTCATAAATTCAATCAAATATTATTCATGGTCAATGAATGAATACAATAATTACATATATATTTAATCCATAGGTTCCATTATAATGTCAAATCTATCATAAAAAAAATGTATCTCTATTCTTTTACATACAAATTCATCACGTAAAATTCTCGTACAAAAGAATAAATTAAATAATTCTACATCATAAATCATCTTTTCTTTATTTTTATTTTTTTTTGTATCATAATCTCTCGACATCATTGTTCATATATATATATATATACTTTGAAAA